TTAGCAGATCTCAAGAGGCACAGAATTCATTCTGAGCTCTGATCTCTAGTAGTTTAGGACATGTCATCACATCATGATACATATCTTTTTAATGCATTGAAAATTACCAAAAAACAGTGACATAATAAATTTAAATTGTTTTGATAAGTATTAATAGAGCATCAAATTTTCTAACTCATAAAATCTTAACTGAAATTCTTTAATATTGAGGTACAAAAAATTCTCAAAATTTGGCATGATTCTTCAAACTCAAGGTTAAAAGAAGAAATGATCTCTTGGAATCTGTTAATGACCATGCAGGGGAAAAATATGCAGTCAGTGAATTTGTTGTAGAAATGAATATAATCAATTAATGATTACATAATGTGCTCAACTTATTTATTTTAATATCTTTGATCAGTTTTGTGACTTATAAGCCCCAAGAGACAAACAGCTTCATGATGCCATGTCTCAGAGCAAAGTACATGTCCTTTACCGTCCTGTATTGATGAGGAAACAGAAGGGACTTTGGTGTTGTTAGGGTTAGCTTAAGATAGGTGGAATTTTGTTTGTTTGCTTGCTTTTTGTTGTTTTTTGAAACAGAGTTTCTCTGTGTAACAGTCCTAGCTGTCTTGGAACTCGCTCTGTAGACCAGGCTGGTCTGGAACTCACAAAGATTCGCCTGCCTCTGCCTCCTATTATAGATTTGGAATTAATCAGATTATGAGTTTCATAGTGTTGCTTGAGGTATCTCAATATATTAGTAAAGAGTTAATTTTATTTTGATAGATTATATATCAGTTCATCTTGTTTATTTGCTTAAGCTTGAATGTCTTCAAAATTAGTTTCAGATAAGTTTTTCATTAGGAATATTGTTATTTAATATTTTTATTTATTAATGAGTCCGAAATCTGTCAGACTACTAAAGGCTTAAATAATTGAAGAATTTGGGAAAGAAACAGTCTAGAGCAAATTGTCAACAGTCATGATCAGTGGGTTCATTTTTGTTACACTATTCCTTTTTTTCGATTTAGTACTTTTAGTATTGTATCTCAAATATTACTTATAGAGAAGGTATTTGGGGAGGTGGATAGTAATTATTTTGCATCCTGCTAATATCTGTTTAAGACATTTTCATTTTTCCATTACTGGCTTAATTTCTTTTCTTGAACTTGAGATGACAGTTTGGAAGTCTGTTGGGGTGAAGTCCTAGACAGTATGAATAGAGGCGGAACAGTGGCTTTGCAGCACACATTTAGTCAGGAGAGGGCTTTGTTTTCACAGAGCTTCTTCTTCTTTTCTCTTCTCCCTTGTTCCATCCTTTCTTGTGATTTTCTTTTCACTTGTCTCCTTTTATCCCTGTAACTGTCTTAAGTCTATTTTGTTCTTGTGTGCTGTCTCTTGACTTGTAGTTGTATTGGAAACCAATTAGGTTTTCTGTCTCTTACTGCTGTTCTTTCCTCAAGTGACACAAGAAAATTCAACCTCTCTCTCTCTCTCTCTCTCTCTCTCTCTCTCTCTCTCTCTCTTGTTTTTGTGCTAGGATAGATCTTTTAAGGGCAATAGTAGATCTTGAAAAATTCATTTAGATTGGGATTTTGGTCAATGCTATTTGCTATTTATTTGGAATGACATATAATTCCCACCTTTTGTAAAAAGAATATTTTCTATTGATATAATACTGTCATATATACAATGAAGATAGAAATATATATCCTGGCCAACATGTTTTCTCTTTTTGGTGAATTCTCTATTGAAAACCATATGCCTGTGTTCCTGTGTTGTAAAAGGGGAGCTGGCTGCTTTCCGTCCCGCCTGGCTCCCAGCCACCCGGCTAGCTTTACCCGAAATAATTACACGGAAACTGTATTTATTTAAACACTGCTTGGCCCATTATATCTAGCCTCTTCTTGGCTAACTCTCACATATTAGTTTAACCCATTTCTATTAATGTGTATTACCACTTGACTGTGGCTTACCGGCATGAGTCTAACCAGTGTCCTTCTCAGAGAGAAGAGCCATGGCGTCTGCCTAACTCTGCATTCTTTCTCCCAGCATTCTGTTCAGTCTACTCCATCTATCTAAATTCTGCCCTATCAAAAAGCCAAGGCAGTTTCTTTATTTGACCAATGAAGGCAACACATAGAAAGAAGACCCTTCTACACCATGCCTGTCTCTGAGGAAGATTCTAGGCATTAGTGTTTATGATGTAGACTAAATCTTCCTATAATAAATATTCCTGGAATTTACTTATATCAGTAGAATGGTGAACTCAAGAAAGAAACATAAACTTCCAAGTTTGATTGCACAAATTTGGTGTTTGTTGTACTTCTGTCCGTTCTAGAAGGAGTCTAGTGATAGTTGGAAGAGGCCTGTGATAAAGCATTGTGAGGAAAAGTGTGTGAGAATTCTGAGTAGGTTGAAGAAAGAGGAACTTAATTACTCCGCGTGTTTGTGGCGGGTTTACACACACCTTATCTGGGTAAACAAGGCCACTACTTTAGTGTCTTTCAGTTTAGTTTTTCTTCCATCTCATCACTCCCTGAAGTAAGATAGAAAATGAGGATGATAATATTTACAGAGAAGATACATATATATTTTAGAGGTAGTGGTAGAGAGGAGGAGGAGTAAGCACAGCAGTTAAAGCCTTCATGCCACCAGTTGGAAATGTCCACAGAGTTACAGGAAGGGCTGAAGAATAGTGTTTGTCCCTAAGAAAAAATAATTTTAAAAATCTTTTCATAAAAATCTTGTTTGGTAGATTGTAGCATAAATATTAATGTCTATCTGATAAGCAAATCTTCTCATAAGCCATATATGAATTAAATGTTAGTAGCTTACTAAACATAAATTGACGTTTTTTGTGAGAGAAGTAATATAATTAAATGCTATAGATTGTAGAAATCAAGAATAAGAAATATAAAGTGTTATTAGCAATATATATATATATATCGGAAGCATCAGCGTCAACTTTCTGGTACTTAAATCATAATTTTATTGTATGCATTATCTGATTTACATTAACTTAGGATTATCTTGCTGTGATAAGCACCATGGCCATAAACAACATGGGGAGGAAAGAGTTTATTTCATCTTACACCCTGTAGTCCAGGGAGAGCAGGGTAGGAACTCAAGGCAGGAGCCTACAAGCAGAAGAGCTGTTGCAGAGGCCATGGAGGAACATTGATTGCGGGTAACTCATGGCTTGCTCATCCTGCTTTCTTCTAGCACCCAGTATCATCAGCCCAGTGGTGGCATCACCCACAGTGACCTTGACCCTCACACTTCAATTTTGAGAATTTTCTCAATTGAAAGACTCTCTTCTCAGATGATTGTAGATTGTGCGAAGTTGTCATAAAACTATCCAAGATAATAAAAACATGAAAAAAAATCTAAAAATATATTAATAATGTATTTTAAACTGTCTTAATAAGTTGGTTGTTTTTAATTTAGGGTGTTTAATTTTAATTTATTCAACATAAATGATATCTACTTAAGTATATTATCATAATGTCATAGTTGTGCATCTTCCCAAAACCTGATGATTCTTATTTTATTCCTCTTTTTTCCTTTGCTGAGTGCTTCACTGTAGTACAGAAGTGAAAACTAAGAAGCCCATGGTCTAGTATACTGTGAAATAATCCTGTATCAAATTGACATGAACTTATTACACAGCATGTTTCCTTTTATTTATTGCTTAACCTTCTCACAATCTGTGAGAAAGTAATAAGACATTAGTATCCTCAATTTATAGAGGATAGTTAATCTTCACATGGTTCATAATTGCAGAGTTTACCACAAATTTTCTTGACTACTATATCAAAGACTTTTTAAAAATTATTTTTAGTGTTTTAAACTCTATGAATGTGTGTGTATGTACAATTATGTGCTGGTACCCTTGGAGTTCAGAGGCTTCAGTCCCATGGAGCTGAAGTTAGAGACAGTTGTGAGCCTCATAACGTGAATGTTGGAACTGAACTCTGGTCCTGTAGAAGACCAGATTTCATTCTTAGCTGCTGAGCAAACTCTAGTTTTATATCAAAGGCTTCTTTTTCTGTCTATTCATGTAATAGAAGCTGCACTGTATTAGTCAAGTATTGCCAATTGCTACTACTGGCCTTAGTCCATGGAGAGTTACCCAACATTTCAAAAGCATGATTTATTTACTGTTACTCATCACAGAAGCCATACCATGGTCTTTCACATTCCTTTTCTCAGTGACTCACTCAGTGTTCACTAGTATAAGTAAGCAGTAGTGTTGAACTTTTAGTATGATGCTATAGTGTTAAAGGTCTATCAAAGTACTATTAGGTCTGTTAAACTATATAGGTCTGTTAAAGTACTATTAATTCATCTTGTCTTTGAACTCAGTTTTTCATAGGATATTTTTCTGCATTTTAAATTTATGTACATTGGTGTTTTACCTGCATATGTTTCTGTATGAGGGTTGTTTGATTCCTTTGAATTGGAATTACAGACAGTTGTGAGATGCCATGTGGGTGCTAGGATTTGAACTCAGGTCCTCTGGGAAAGCAGTCAGTGCTCTTTTCTGCTGAGCCATCTCTCCAACCCCTAGAATAAATTCTTATAGCTGTTAGAAGGATATTGAATTGTAAACACTGTATTAGTCACTTTGCTCTAAGTTTATATATTCCTAGTCTAGACATTTAAATTTGCATTTGTTAATTTAGTAATAGCTTATGCTTTACCTAGGAAACAGCTTCATCTTAATGACTGTTTCTTGCTTTATCCTGTTGTTTCTGATGCTTCAGCATTTTAAATAGCACAGTTTTAGCAACAGAGCAAAATGAAAGGTTTTGCCTAGTGCCTTTCTTGTTCACATGTAAAGCCCCGTTAGTCTTGAGGGAGCTGTTAGTTAAAAATGCCAGTAGTTCAGTTTCTGAACAGTGTTTTAGGTGCTTGTGATTGCCAATGAGAATAGAATGTATAGTCATGATTTGGAAAATTTATTGCTGTATTGCAACCACTTTTCTAAATCTTCTTTTTTCTTCCTTAAGCAGAAAAAGGAACCTTCTAAATCCAGTGTCAAGAAAAAATTAACCAAAGTTGCAGAAGCAAAAAAAGTAATGAAGAGAAATTTTAAAGTCAATAAGAAAATAACATTTACTGATGAAGGGGAGGTAAGATTCTGTAAATGTGTTATTTCTGAACTGTGTCTTAGGGAATGTGGAGCTTGGCTTTCCTGCTGACTGGCCATTTATTATTTGAAAACAAGTGTCTCCAGAGCACGCTGGCCACTTCTTTTCCCTGTTTCTATAGGCCTTTCATCAGCTGTGTGGTGTGGGCAAGGATTTTCGTATGCAGTAAGCTGAAGTCCTTCCTGATGATACCAGCAGTGAGATGCTGTTAAATTCCATTCTTTATAGGGAAGATTTTCCCATCAATATTCATCAGAGTGTTTCCTGGGAACAAGCACAAGAATACTAACACAGTTACTTAGATGCTCTCATCTTAGCATGACTCTGTAAACTGCCCGATTTGCACTTCCTCAGTTATATATGCTGTGTGTGCATGTTCATTGCTGGCTGGCCCATGGAGGAAATTCTCTGCCTTTTACTTAGATTTCAGACGTAGGTGCCTCCGTCTCATATTTCCTTTATCTGGGTCTGATTCTAAATGTATCTTATCTATTCTTATTCTATCTTATTCTCAAAGAGGTCATTATTTTAAGAATTACTGTTTTGCTTTCAAATGGTCAAGTAAACCTAGGACATCAAGTAAATTACCCAAAGGATGAAAACTAGTTCCTGGCATAGCAAGGTCTTTGGATTTTCATTTCATGACGCCATTCTCACCAGCCTACAAGTTTCCTGACCATTCTAAAATATCACACAGTACTGTTAAAATCTCATTGCTTTTTGCCTTCCTCCCTCCCTCCTTTCCTTCCTTTCTGGAAATAATAATAATAATAATAATAATTATTATTATTATTATATAACCTCACAGTCTTATTTGATGATTTTAACTTTCTTTTGTACTTATCTACAAAGAAAGGTATTTTGTTTGCTGTTGGATTCCTAGCACAGGGCATAGAACCTAACATGTATTAAACACTCAGAATAATGCTTAGTAATCCATTACTATAGTAAAATATAAATTTTCCATATTGATTAAAGAATCATATCATATATTTCATCATTATGGAAATGTTGCTGAAATAGCCTCTATCCACAGGGTTTATTTTCCTTTTTCATTTTGAATTTAAAGAATTTGGTGTTATTTGGAGGTATAGGAATGAGCTGAGAAATAACAAGTAGCAGTGTGATTCAGAGTTGCCAGAAGTGGAAGATGAAGCCAATAAAAATAAAGCAAAATATTTGTTATAAAACCACTGTAGAGAACTGCGCACCTAAGAAGTGAGCTAAAGGAGAATGCAGTCATGTCTAAACCCCTGTAAAATTAGTGCTCTTACCCTAATGAGCTTACTGTGCTACAGAGTTCAGCTGCACAGATTACAGTAATTAGCTCCAAGATGATTATAAATCTCTCAATTGTACATTGCTGCAATGTACACTTGTTACTAAGAGGAACTGTTTGTGGCTATGCATGATATTGAAACTTCTGAGCCTCTAAAAGATGGGCTGTGATTTGTTTAACCCACAGAAAGGTATACTATATTAATTTTCCTGTGAGTCGGCTTGGATGAGATGTCTGAGTGTTGATGTTATCTCACCATGGATCCCGTTCACAACGTTGGGGCCCAGTGATTACTGACATAGTTTGCCATGCAGTTCCTTTGCTACCACCATTGGCTGCCAAAAGAATAAGATTATGGAAATCTCACCTTGAACGGCGTCAGTACCAAGGATGTATGAGTAGCTGTGAGAGGTTTATCTGAAAATTTATGTTTGTCTGATGATTATTTAGCATACTTTCAAGTTAGAAGTACAGGCTTTAGATGCTCTGGCAACCAGTTTTTAATTTAAAACTTTTAAGTTAAGGGAATAACTTTGTCTAAATTGTTTAGAGCTTGTACTTTATAGTGTGAGACAAAGGAAATTATTGAGTTGCTTCCCTTTTTTTTTTTAGATCTAGAAGGGGCACAAGTGTCCAGAGAATAATAAATTTACTTAGCATGACACACTAAACTAGTGAAAAAGTTTGAACACTCAGCCAAGTCTCCTTTTGGATCCATTTGCTTGTCACTTTGTTCTTATCCATAAATTGCGGTGTGGAATTATGAGCAGTCTCTGAAACCCAAGCCAGTTTTCTCCTTTATAGTTAGTTACTTCACTCTGTAATATTACTTGATATATGCATGACTCATTGGTGAGTTTTAATTATCACATATTGTTATGGTCTCTGAGGATGAATGAGAAAACTATATAATAGGTACTCATAAGGATATTAGATTTACCAAAAGAAACAGGAATGTAGAACAATACATTTTGATGAGCCATGTTAGAGGCTTAACTAGGTACCTGGGTGTAGCTCAAAGGACATACAGTGTCACCCAGTTTTCTGCTCTGTGCAGATGGTTTCGAGCTTAGTTGCAGGAGGACAGAGTATTAACAACTGTCTTGGGAAGTGTTTTTATTCTGTAATCACCTTGACCAAATACTTGTGTGAAATTGTTTTTAATCGTGTGCTCACAGTATAATGGCAGTATTGCCTGGGCTGTGAAGGCCTTTCTTTGGTATCTTACTTTAATTATGAAGTTGATGAGAAGGTTTAATAACACATTTAAGGTGGGCCATATGCCTCATTTTAAATGGATACTCAAAAGCAGACTGTTTCTGTAGACACCCCGTCCATTGTACCCTATACTTAACTTTTCCTGTCTTTAGCTGGTTCAGCAGTGGCCACAGATTCAGAAATCTGCTTCTAAAGATGAGGAGGAAGAAGATGATACTGGTGGTATCAACTTAGACAAAGCAAAGGAAAGGCTTCAGGAAGAGGACAAATTCGACAAAGAAGAATATAGGAAGAAAATTAAAGCAAAGCATCGGGTAAGCTTCATTTTGAATTACAGCTGAGTCCCTACTATGTCTCGCCTCTCATTCATTGAAAGTGCATTGTTAGCATGACTTTAGTTGCTGTTCTCACCGACACTGTCTTTGTGGCTGATTAGGCACTGTATTCGTTCCTTTTGTTCTTCTGGAGACTGTGCGATACTGAGTTGCCACTGAAATCAGCTTTTGTTTATGTGACTCAGATAGTATTACTGTGTTTTAAAGGTACAGTTTGTGTGCTAATTAGTAATGTCCTTATCAACCACATAGTTGAGGGTGGCTACTTAAGGTTGTATTGTATGGTTATGTTTTAACCCTTTTGTTTGTGAATGTACTGTATGATGTGCGACAACAATGAAATCATCAACTCTTGACTGTATAATTGAAATTCTTAGTTTGAGATTATTGGCGTTTCACATGTAATTGTAGGAAGTACTACAGAGACATCCCATGTTCTCCATTTCTAGAATTTTATTATTCCCAGAATATTTTAACAAGTGAAACCAGATATAGCCTTTTGGGATTGTTGTTTTGCATTTAACATTATTTCATAGAAATTCATCAAATTGGTGCATATCAAGACATTTTCTTTAAAAGATGTTTAAAAGATTTATATTTATTTTATGTGTGTATTTGCTTGAATATATGTATGTACACCATGCGTATGAGTAGTTCCTGAATTGGCCAGAAGAGGGCATTAGATACCCTGAAGCCCTGGAGCTAAGTTACTGTTGTGAGCTGCCAATAGGGTGCTGGAAACCAAATCTGTGTCCTCTGAAGGAGTTCCAAATGTTTTTAACTATTGAACCATCTCCAGCCCTCTATATTATCTTTTTCATACTGTATTTATCTATTGTTTGGATGAACTTGGGCTTGATTCATTAATCACTCACCGAAGGACATTGGTATTGTTTCCAGACTTATTTTATTAGCTAAATTTCTTTTCATACTGATTGCTTTATTATATCTTGTAAAAGGGACTATTTCTGTATGTATAAGGTTCTGGTGACCTTAAAGTTCAGTTCTCTGTTATATTTGTGGGGGACATAGGTATTACTGTTCTGTCATACAATGTAATTCCCCCAAAGTGGGATTAACCACTAGATTAATGAGTCAATTAATGAGATAAAGCGTATGTTCATTTTAAAATATCTTTTTGAAACATGCCTCTAAAACAGCGAATGACTTCAGAATGGTACAATATAATATTTGAGAATCCTTGCCATATTATTAAATTTTATTTTCAAAACCTCTTATACCTTTGGATAGGAATATTATTGATATAACCTTGAAAAGGATTCTTGTAGATTTTTTTTTGCTTTTTTTTTTTACCTTGTAACTACTTAATGGTCTAGATCATACTCTCCTCTTATAAAGATTATGATTTTTAAAGACTTAATGCATCTTTACTTTAAGTATCATTTGACAGAACCAAAGAAAAAAGTGTATATTGAAGATTATAGAAGTATGGAAATGAGTGTTGCCAAAGCATTTTATACTGTGGAACACAAATAGAAGTGATTGAGATTCGGCATTTGTGTTATTGAGAGAAACAAATATTTCTTGAATTACTTCCTTTAGTACAGTATGTGAATTGAAATTTGGTATTATATGTTAAGATCTTTAGAAGTGCTAAAAGTACCAACAGCTTACTTGCCATAGTTTAGTTTACAGTCTTCTATGAGTGTTTATCTAGGAGTTAGGTTGAGTATAAAGAAATATGAAGAAATGTGAAGAATTTACATAAAACAAGATTTTCCTTCTCTTTTCTCCCATGTATAACAACTGTCTATAGAATGTCAATACTAAAACTTTTAGAGAGTAAATTTAAACTGGACTATTTATCCATGTATTCACAATGTGCAGCTAGAACACTGAGAATACATGATCCTCAGCCCCCAGGAAAACGGTTTGAGTGATAATTAGCTGAGAACATGTTTGCATTGAACAAAATGTCTTTTTCCATTTTTTTCTTTTTGAATGAGTGATATAATGACTTGGTCTTGAAATCAGATGATGAAAATGGCCAAATACCCTGCCCTCACTGTTCTTCTATCCTGCTAGCTGCTTACCTTAGTTACTTTTGTCTGGTTGAGACAAGTTCTCACCAGTTCTGCAGGCTGACCCACAACTTGCTGTGTAGTCCAGTGTTGCCTTCAGCTCCTTATCCCTCTGCTTCAGCCTTTTGAGTACAGGTATTGCTGCTTTGCATCAGCATGTAGGCTGCTTTAACTTTTAGTGCACCACTATTAAGCAAGGTAGTAGAAAGTCAAATATGTATTTTAAATATTTTTATTCATTTTTATCAAATACGAGAATGTTAAACACTAAAGATTGAGTAAAATTTGAAAAGAAAAACCACCATGAAATATGGGGTGTGACTGAATAAAATTTTATGTGGGAGGAAGAAACACCATGAAACTGATCACATGCTTCTGCATTTGGCTTATTTATAAATAGATGTCATTTGTGAGTTTCATAAGTTCCAGAATTTTTAAATGCATGTTTAAAATATTCTAGGATGATAATTTCATGTTAAACGATAATTCCTTAAGTGAGTGTAGTCTTAATGATTTAGTAGTGCTTCCTCTTATGAACTAATGACTGCTTTTGGGTCTGGAGAGGTGGCTCAGCAGTTTAGAACACTTGCTGCTCTTTCAGAAAAATGAGTTTGATTCCCAGAACCAAGAACCCTCTTGGTGGCTCACAACCATTTATAACTCTTTCCCAAAATATCTGCTGATCTCTGCTTGCACAAAGCATGCACGTGGCGACACTCATATTCAGCCAAAAAGCTCACACACATTAAGTAAATAACAAACAAATAAATAAATTTAAGAAAATGCGTGGTGCATGTTTTGAATGTCCTCAGCTATTGTTCCGCAGGTCTCAGGTCCTTACGCTGGTCCAGTTCTTCATTCTCTGTCCTAATACACCTGTCATTGACTCATGCTTTTGTCTACTAGCCACTGGAAGCTATAAAATTCCATCTGTGACAGAGGTATTGATCCTTTTAAAAAGGGTTTAGAATACTGAGATATAAAGGTCTTTTTATTTAATTCTTTTGTAACTTAAGTTTTCTTATATTTTTATATTTTAATTTGTATTTAAAAATTAAAAAGAAAGGCTATTTTGTCCATATGTATGTCTGTGAACCATGTGTGTACAGTGCTGGTAGAGGCATTGGATTCTCTGGAACTGGAGTTTCAGATGTTTGTGAGCCTTTGTGTTGGTACTGGTAACTGAATTGAGGTCCTTTGGAAAATCATCAGTTGCCCTTAACAACTGAACTCTCTCTCCAGTCCCCAACTGTATTTTGATATGAATAGTTTTACATATTTAGAGGCACAGTGTGATGTTTTGTTGTATTATACATTGGAGAATGATTAACTTTGGCTAACATATCAGTTCCTTCAACTCATTCTTTCTGGTGTGAACATTTAGAATCCTTACTTCTGTCTAGCTACTTTGAATATATAGAAGTTTATTTATTTTTTTTTTTGCTATAGCCACCACTCTATGTAAAAGATTCCTAGAACTTACTATGTCTGAATGAAATTTTGTGTTTTTTGACTAAGAGACCTCCCCCACTCTGTTTTATATTTCTGTCTGTTTAGGTTTTTTATTCCACACCAGTGATACTGTTTTTCTGTGCATGCCTAACTCACTCGTCATTATGTCTACATAATGACAGACTACATATGTCTACACAAATGGCAGACTGTCCTGCTTCTTGAAGGTTGAATAGTTTTCTATTCTTTACACACATTAAAAAATCCATTTGTTCATTGATGTCACTTTATATGAGTATCAAGATTTTAATTTTTTATTATGGGTAAAAGACTTATAGTATGATGGTATCATTGAGAGTAGAGCAGAGCTGTTCTGTGCAGAAACATAACCGACCCCAGCCTTTTGGTGCTTTCTGTAACTGTTTAGGTTATTTAGCAATTTTATTTTATTTTATTTTATGAGCTTTCACTGAAATATTAAACACTGTTTTATTTCTGAGTCTTACTGGTAGCTGTGGTCAACATCTACAGAACATCTTGAAATGTTCATCAGAAATAAAGATATAGCAAATGTTATACTCTGACACAGAGACAAAGATTTTATGATACCAGCCAAAGCTGTTCTTACTCTAATGGGCTGGACATTTGCTCTATGCTGTGATGCCGTTTCAGCTCTGCAAAATTACTTGTGTTTTCCTTGATCTCTGCTGTTACAGCTGGGGATACAGAGAAATGACCTCAAAGAAGGCCTCGTTCTCGTGGAGTGCTCTGTGAAAGCTTTATTCATGGTAGATTGTGATTTAAAGAGGACGGTCATGTCAGGAAATGGTTCTGGATCGCTTGTGACATTGGTGCACATTTGACTTTGTTTCCACTTAGTTATGAACTTTAGAAAAATAGGGAAGAATTAAAGGGACATTTTAGAAAATCTGATTTGTCACTGGTACAGAAATGATTTGATATAGAATCTGAGTGGCTACATTTTAAACCATATGTAATAAGACAAGAAGTAGGGAAGCTGTAATAAACCATTTTAGAAATTGTACCAAGACTAGTAACAGTAGTAACTGGGCTCTGTATTAATGCTTTATATGTATCCTGCCATTTCATGCTCACAATTAACTTCTGAAATAAGAGGGCCAGCCTCCTTCTAGAGTATAAAATTAAGCCTTAGAAGGGTCTAGTGGTGTGTACAAGTTTCACCTCTTAACAAATGGAGCCTTTACCAAGGTCCCTGCTGCTCTCTTGACCTCGAGCTGTTTAGCTCAAACCATGACACATTGTCTTACACAGCAGGGCAGTTCTGAAGCAAAATAAAAATGTAGTAAGTGATAGAAGTGGGCCTTGGATTTTGGAAAAGCAATGGTGACAAATGCTAGAAGCTATATTTCCAAAGAGAGGTATAATTAATCTCAAATAAATTCAAAGACAAAATAGACATTGTAGTTAGTCATACAGTTTAGGGCCCCATGCTAGTACTTTTTC